GGACTCAGGCAATCCACCTTGGCCTCCCAAAGTGCTGGGATTACAGGCTGAGCCACAGAACCTGGCCTTTTTTTCTGTTGGAAAAATTGGGACAGGATTACCTACCTCATAGGGTTATTGTTAGGAGTAAAGAAGATAGTTTAGCAAATAATAAGTACCCACTAAAGAACTAACAATTCTAACTAATAGCATTTATTCTAATTGCCTGAATTGTTTCAGGAGAATAATCTCCCGAGTTTGATTTTCCAGTGGAGTAAAGGGCATGGCATTTGTCTGCAAATTGTCTTTTAGAGTCTTAGAAAACCTAGTGTATTGGGTCCTGAATGGCAGATATTGATTAGAAGTCTTAAGCTCTACCTTAGCAGGGCTTGATGGCTCAGTCTGTAATCCCAGCACTTTGGGAGACAGGCAAGTGGACTGCCTGAGCCCATGGTTTCAAGACCACCCGAGGCAACTTGACGAGACCTGTCTCTACAATAAATAAATAAATAAAATTTAGTCGGGCGTGGTAGCATGTGCCTGTAGTTCTGGCTACATGGAAGGCTGAGGTGGGAGGTTCCACTGAGCCCAGGAGGTTGATGCTGGGGTGGCTGTGAATGAGACTTCAACCCCCCCCAAAGTCTTAAGTTCTAGGACAGATCATTTTAATAATTCCTATATACATACAGTTTAAATCCCAAATAAAGTAAATGTCCTCAGTAGTTGTTTTATATTTATCTTTTAGGACTATCAGGTAAAGACAGAAATAAAAGTGAAAGACATCAGTTCCAACTTTTTTTTTTTTTTTTTTTTGAGTAGGAGTCTCACTCTACTGGGCTCAGGTGATCCTTCTGCCTCAGCCTTCCAAGTATGTGGAACCACAGGCGGACACCACCACACCTCGCTAATTTTTAAAATTTATTGTAAGAGAGGAGGCCCCACCAAGTTGCCCAGGATGCTCCCAAACTCCTGGACTCAGGGAATCCTCTGGTCTCTGCTTTCCAAAGTGCTAGCATTACAGGTGTGAGCCACTGAGCCCTGCTAGTTCCAACTTTCGTATTAGCCTGTTAATGATTGCTTCTTGAACATGCGATGAGCAGTCTTTTTAAATTTCCTCAATGTATGTGAAAATACTTGGTAACTATTTATTCAGCAATTTGTTTTAAGTACAGAATGTGTTCTAGGCACAGTTCTAGATATTTGGGAAAAAATGGTGAAAAAGAAAAAAATAGACTTTTCATGGGGATTACAGTCCTGTGGGGTAGATAGAAAATAAACATAATGTGTTGGGGGATAAGTGCACTGAAGAAAATATGAAGCAAGGTAGGGGATAGATAAGAGAGGAACAGAGCTCCAGGCTGTTTATTTTAGATAGAACAGACAAGGAAGTTCCTGAGGAGGGAACATTTGAGTAGAGAACTTGAAAGAAATTCAAAAGAAAACCTTGAGGGTATCTGGGAGGAGATGCTTCAGGCAGAGGGAATAACAAAATCCTTTAAGTGGTGATGAGCTTGACTAGTTTAGGAAAATAGCAGAAGGTCAACATAAGAAGTAGAGAGAGTGAGTGAATCATAGTAGATGAGGTTCATGGTGTTGGAGGGGATTGTGGTGAGTGGCAGGTAATGTAGGAGTTACAAGACCATGGGAGGACTTGGAACAAAATCCAGTGTTTGAAGGGTTTTGAGTAGGGAAGTGACTTGATCTGACTTGACTTTTAAAAGGATTACTCTGGGTGCTGTGTTTAAGAAAAAGAGACTGTGGGAGCTTTTCTGTCCTCAATAAATCCTGCTTTCAAAAAAAGAAAAATAGATCAGAAAGGAGAAAGTGAAGGGAAAGCAGTTAGGAGACTACTGCAGTGAGGTGATAGAAGCTTAGAGTGTCATGAGAGTGGTGTTAGGTGGTGAGAAGAGGTTAGATGTGGATTTGCTGTTGGATTGGATGAGGGAAATTAATCAAGGATGACTCCTAGGTTTTTTGTTTTGTTTTTAAATCCAGACAGAGGGTGACTATTAGTCCCATTAACTGAGATGATTCCGGAAGACAGTGGGAAGAATAGAATTGGAGGTACCGACAGTAGTTCAGTTTTGGTCATGTTAAGTTTGAGATGCCTATGAGACATCTATGTGAACGTGTCCAGTAGGCTGTGGGTTATGAAAGGACAGGGATATGAAAGAAGTGTGAAAGTATCAGAATAAGTGAACTGATGGTGGTGAGGGTTAGATGCTGGAAGTCAGAACTGTGGTCATGGTACACCTGTTGGTAAAAGTATGTTCTAGGGGAAGATGTTTCTGGGACATAACAGTTTATTGGAGGCAGGAAGACGTAAAGGAGCTTAGAGGCCATGGTGTTGGATATTGAAGGAAAAAGAGTGTGAAAGAACTAGTGGTAGGGAGAGAGGTGAGAGTGAGGTATTCACATGTCAGTGAAAGAAGGGAGTGACCAGGAAAATGGTACATACCTGCCACAAGGAGAAGTACCTGGTATAGTAATCTGACTGAGGTATTTAAAATTGCTACTTAGATGCTTTCATCTATCTTCAGCAGTTGTTTCACTTATTTGATTCCAGAAAAAATTAAAAGAAAACTGATCTAGATTTTACTTTGCCAAGTCGTGATAGTTGAAAAACCAAGCAAACTCACCATATATTTCATCATTTCATACAGAAAGGGACATTTTAATATAAAAGTTTAGGAAGACCATAATCTAAGAATTTAGATTTATATAGCTTTAAAAATAATATAATGGACACGTCATCATTTTTCTTTTCTTGCTTTATTAGACTAATTAAAACTTTATCACATAGTGAAACATGGCTTTCTTTTTATTTTTAATTTTTTTCTTTTTGAGTCAGGATCTCAATCTGCTACATAGACTGGAGTATGGTGGCATGATCATGACCTCCTGGTGATCAAGTGATCCTTCCACCTTAGCCTCCCAGGTAGCTGGGACTTCAGGTATATACCACCCTGTTTAGCTCATTTTTAAATTTGTAGAGATGAGGCCTTGCTATGTTCCCCAGGCTGGTTTTGAACTACTGAGCTCAAGCAATCCCAAAATGCTGGGATTACAAGTGTGTGCCACTGTGCCTGGCTAGTGAAACACTGCTTTAGAGTAACCTTGTGCTATCCTGACTTTGATTATGTTTTTCAGGGCTTAAAATTACTCACTACTCCCTTCCTGAAAAAACTTCTAATTTCTTATGCCTTTACAGTTTGAGTCCTATTCTCCTTTCTAGTCTTTTGCCTCATCACATTTGCCAGCATTTTTTTTTTTTTTTTTTTGAGTTGGAGTCTCACTCTGTCGCCCAGACTGGAGTGCAGTGGCCACTCCCGGCCACCGCAGCCTCGACCTGCTGGGCTCTGGCGATCCTTCTGCCTCAGCCTTCCAAGTAGCTGGAACTACAGGCGCACGCTACCATGCCCGGCTAATTTTTTTTTTTTTTTTTTTTTTAATTGTAGAGATGAGGTCTCGCCAAGTTGCCCAGGCGGGTCTCGAACATGCGGGCTCGGGCAGTCCACTCACCTCGGCCTCCCAAAGTGCTGGGGTTACAGGCTGAGCCACTGAGCCCGGCCTCAGCATTTTTTTTTAAAAGCAGGATTTCTTGAGAGGACATAAAGGCTCCCATAGCAGGAGGGGACCCAAAGGAGTTGCCTTTTTTTTTTTTTTTTAATAATTGTGTTTGTAGTTTGCATTAATTTGGTGTTTGACTAATGCAGGTTCAAATCTGGCTCTGTCATTAGTTATGTGGTCTAGGACATATTATTGTAATGAGAAGAAAAGCAGCCCTTAGCATCCTGGAGTTGCCCTGGTGTTGCTATCAGCTGGGCCTTGGTGTTGCTGTGAGCTAGCCTGGCAGTTAACAGTTAGGTCTTCTTGGTATTCTTCTATTGAACACGATTAACTGAATATCAACATCAGACAAGGCAATTCTGTGACCATAACAGATCAAGACAAAAAGCAAGACCATGCCTTAATCATATCTGAACACAAAGAAAGCATGAACATTGTTTAAATCACAAAATATCAAATATCTCCCTCTCTAGGCTAATGTGAGTGATTGCTGCTACTTTACCAATTACAGCTTTAGCTTTCTAATAGTCTGCCCCCTTACAGAAAATATTTGTTGTTATACTCAGACATAGAACTGCTTCCACTTTCTGACAGTTCTTTATCCAGAGTAACTCCTGCTTCCTGGTACTCTCCTTGAAAATCATCTAGCCAAATCTCATTTCTAATATCTTCAGCTTTTTATGGTATGCATTCCTAATAAACTCAACTTGTTCAACTACAGGTGGGTTCCTGGTACATGGGAAAAGGATGTTAATAGTAACTACTTTGAACCATTGTTTTTTTTTATGTGAAAACTGGGGGTAGTATTTTTTATACAGAAGTGTTAAGAAGATTAAATGAGAAAACTTAAAGTACCTGGCAGGGTCCTTGCATTTAGTAGATACTCAACAAAAGCTTGTTTTCTGTTCTCTTGTAAGGTAGTCTGATTCAGTCATGATCCCATGAACAGAGCTTATAAGATCCTTATTTAAACCTTTCTCACATATGGAGTGCTCAGTTTGCATCCTTCAAGACTCAGTCCAAAATACCTTCTCTTCTATGAAACCTTTACATCTGCTGATCTTTCCTGTCTCTGAACTTAAGGTATTTATTGTTCTTTATCGTTGACTTTATTATTAATTGTACTCTACTTTGTGGCATCTTTGTAATTACCTTTTACTATTTAACTCTTAATTTTTCATATGTGTATGCCTTGTTCAACTAAATTGTTCTTTAAGACTGGGGTCTAGGTTTAAAAAGGGCCTTTGAAACCAGCTAGTTACTTTATAGGGGCTAATTTCTTAAATTTCTTACCTTAAGTATCTGGTACTCAGAAATTTCTTAAACATGATTAAAGTAATATAGAGGGAGAATATCATTAAATTTCATCTCTCCTAAATACTGTATAGTCACATTATGAAATTCACCTAAACCAGATGTTTAGTTCAAAGCTTTTAATGTCTTCTTCCTAGACAGTACAATGGTGGGTGAAGAGAAGATGTCTCTAAGAAACCGGCTGTCAAAGTCCAGTGAAAATCCTGAGGAAGATGAAGACCAGAGAAACCCTACAACGGAGTCCCTAGAGACACCTAGTAATGGTGAGGCTTTTCATTTTTTTGAGGTGAATTAATGAAATAGAGAACAATTTCAGTGTTCTAGAACAGGTATTGCTATTTCCTTAGTTCTCTTTATTATAAATGATTATTGGTAGAGATTTGTATTTCTGGTAGCAAATTAGAATGTAAGTTCTTTTTGTTAATTAATTCAGTGAACATCTGTTGGACATCTGCTATGTTCTATACGCCATTCATTCAGTTACCTTATCCATCAATAATTGCTGAAGTATTCTGCTGGATGCTGGGGTTTCTAGCAGTGATTAATATGGACTTGTTTGCCATTATACTCCAGGTTAAGTGAATGACAAAACCTCCAAAATTATACACATAATTAGATTATTACAAGTAAGTATAATATTCTTATAATATAATTACTCTCATAGCTTTAATGAGTAAAATGTGTGTAATTATGGTACCTAGCCTAATTCAGATCTGAGCTATAAATCTTGAGGGATGGGACGATTAGGGACTTTTATTAGTTCTTTTTTCAAGTTTGCTTAATGCATCAATACAAAGAAGAGTACAACACAGTGCTTGTTGTCAAGGTCAAAGTTTATGATATGAATGATAGACTTGTTGCCATCTATTGCATCGGGATATTTATGTTTGCAGTGACATTTGTATAAGTTTGATTTCAACAAGGATTTGATATTTGAGGTTTGTTTGGTTAACAAATAGGGGTGGAACTTTCTTAGGTTGTCTTTGGCATCTCTACTGTTTTCATAAAGAAATGTGGTTGTGTTGTGCCTACGTAAATTTAATTAAACTTAAATATCAACAGAGAAAGCTGGCGTGGTGGTTCGTGGTGGTTCATGCCTGTAATCCTAGCACTCTGGGAGGCAGCAGTGAGAGGACTGCCTGAGCTCAGGAGTTTGGGACCAGCCTGAGCAACATGGCAAAATCTTGTCTCTACAATACAAAAAAAAAAAATCGTCGTGTGTGGTGGGGTTTGCCTGTAGTTCTAGCTACTTGGAAGGATTGCCTGAGCCCAGCAGCTTGAGCAGCAGTATCTGTGAGCATGCCGCTGCACTCCAGCCTGGCGACAGAATGAGACTCTGACTTAAAAAAAAATCAACAACTAGTCCCACCAGGAATGTAAATATCACTGCTTAAGTTGGCATAATGAGGATTATTGATTGTTAGGCTCTTAATTAGCTGTATATGACATATTTATATTGCATATGACCTAGTTTTAATGTGATATAAAATGTGAAATTTATGCAAAGGATGAGAGTCAACATTGGGGAGAAACATTTTCCTTCCATAACTTAGTGATAACCCAGGTTGCTTCCTTGCCTATATTCTCATACATTAGAAATTTCATGTCTGTTTGCGTTGTTCCTCCCATCTCTTGGAGACAGAAAAATTATTTTAACGGAAACTTTCTGTTACCAGATGCAAATGTTCTCCTTATGTCAATTTTTTTTTTTGAGTCAGAGTCTCACTCTGTTGTCACGGCTGTTGCAGCCCCAACCTGCTGGGCTCAGGTTATCCTTCCACCTCAGCTTCCCAAATAGCTGGGACTACAGGTGTGCACCATCATGCCCAGACAATTTTTTAATTTACTGTAGAGATGAGGTCCTGCTAAGTTGCCTAGGTTGGTCTCGAACCCCTAGGCTCAGGCAATCCTCTTGCCTCTGTCTTCCAAAATGCTGGGTTTACAGGCATGAGCCAACTGTGCCTGGCTTCTAATTTCTTTAATTTTGTATTTAAGGAGTATTTTCAGTACTTCTTGTCTTAGTTCATTAAGTTTTAATCAATTCCAGGTTTTAGTGCAGATGTTAAAAATTGTTTAGCTTAAATCAAGAAATACAAGAACTTCCTTGGATTAGTATAAGTAATACTGATCTGAAAATGTTTCTATACTTATTTTAACATTTGTTCACCATAGGGATTAAGTGAATGGATAAGATGTGGCCTTTGAGAATGAGGTATTGAAGGATGCCAGACCAGTCAGGTTTGCCCACCAACCAGGACTACCTGGAGACTTGTTAGAAATGCCCTACCTAGCCGGGTACGGTGACTCATGCCTATAATGCCAGCACTTTAGGAGGCCAAGGCAAGAGGATTGCCTGAGCCCAGGGGTTCAAGACTAGCCTGGGTAACTTGGCAAGACCTCGTCTCTACAGTAAATCAAAATGTTAGCCAAGCATGATGGCATGTGCCTATAGTCCCAGCTACTTGGAATTCTTAGACAAAAGAATCACCTGAGTCCAGCAGGTGACTGTGAGTGTGCCACTGCACTCCAGCCTGGGTGACAGAGTGAGACTCCAACAAAAAAAGTAAAGAAAAGAATGCCCTACTTGATAGATGTTTGAATAAGGTCCCCAGGTTATTCATATTAAGTTTGAGACACAGCTCCTAATGTGGCAGTTCTCTCTCAATTGGAATCTGCATGAGAACCACCTATGGAATGAAAATAAGTTATCCAACAAAATAAACAGCTTCTTTGACTCCATTATAAATCTACTGAATCAGAATTTTTAGGGGTAGGGCCCAGGGATGTGAAGTTTGGAAAAGCTTGCTGGTCCATGGCCATGCAACCCTGAAGCACTTGATCTCATCTGAGAAAGCTTGCTGGATAATACTCATTGACATTAGTGGTTGAAAACCACCATTAACAAGAACTTTGAGACCCAACTTGTTTCATTAAACTTAACATGCGTAATTCTTATTCTGTGGTTTGTAATTCTAGTAATTTATGGGTTGCATGAGATTTGTCCTAATTTACCCAGTTTAGTCCCAGTTTTCACCTATGTCTAGTGTAATTCTTTTATTTTTTTTTTTTAGTCAGACTCTCAATCTGACACCCAGGCTGAAGTGCAGTGGCATGCTTATGACCACCGCAGCCTTGACCTGCTGGGCTTAGGCCATGCTTCTGCCATAGTCTTCCAAGTAGCTGGAACTATAGGCATGTGCCACCATGCCCGGCTAATTTTTTTGTTTATTGTAGGATGAGGTCTCACCAAGTTGCCCAGGCTGGTCTCGAACCTGTGGGCTCAGGCAATCCTCTCATCTCGGCCTCTTAAAGTGCTAAGATTATAGGTGTAAGCTACCGTGTCCGGCCAAATGTAATTCTTTATAGTACTCCTTTTCATTTTCAGAAGTGTCCCAGTTTGATTATATTATATAATTACCTAATCTTTGGATTATTGAATTAATTATGACCATTATTGTGACTTGCACCATATTTAGTTGTATACTTTTCTTTTTTTTTTTTGAGTAGGAGTTTTATTCTATCGCCCAGACTGGAGTGCAGTGGAATGCTCACCACCACCACAGCCTCCACCTGCTGGGCTCAGGTGATTCTTCCTCTTCAGCCTTCTAAGTAGCTGGAACCACAGGCATGTACCACCATGCCTAGCTAGTTTTTTGATTTATTGTAGAGATGAAGTCTTGCCAAGTTGCCCAGGATGGTCTTGAACCCCTGGAATCAGGCAGTCCTCTCGCCTCTGCTTCCCAAAGTGTTGGGATTACAAGTGTGAGTCACTGTGCCCAGCTTATATACTTTTCACAAAAGTATCTCTAGTTTGTCCAGTGTCTATTAGGTGAAGTATTATGATTCTTTCTTTCCTTCTCCTCTGTCCCCTTCTCTGTCTTTTATTTATTTTTATTTTTTTGAGTCGGATTCTCACTCTCGCCCAGGCTGGACTGGAGTGCAGTGGCATGATCATGGCCACCACAGCCTTGACCTATTGCGCTCAGGCTATCCTTATGCCTCAACTTTCCAAGTAGTTGGGAATACAGGTATGTGCCACCATGCCTGGATAATTTTTTGATTTATTGTAGAGACGAGGTATTGCCGAGTTGCCCAGGTTGGTCTCAAACTCCTGGACAATTCTCTTGCCTTGTCCTCACAAAGTACTAGGATTACAGGTGTGAGCCACTGTACCTGGCTTCTTTCTCTTTCTTTTTCCTTTAATTTCTCCTAATTTTTCAGTGATATTTGCATACCATAAAATTCACCATTTTCAAGTGCACCATTCAGTGGTTGCCTGTATATTTAATAGGTTGTAGAATATCACTACTGTTTAATTCCAAAACATTTTTACCAGCCCAAAAAGAAACCCTGTACCCATTAACAGTCACTTCTCATTCTCCCTTCTCTCAGCCCCTAGCAATCACTAATCTACTTCCTGTCACTTTGGATTTCTGGCCATTTAATATAAAGAGATTAATAGAATATGTGGCTTTTGTGTCTGGCTGCTTTCACTTGGCATAGTGTTTTCAATGCTTGTTTGTTTATTAATTTGAGGAAGACTCTTGCTATGCTGCTCAGGCTGTAGTGCCAGTAGCTCTATTCACAGGCACACTGCAGCCTCAGAATCCTGATCTCAAGTGATCCTCCTGCCTCAGCTTCCTGAGTAATATGTTTTAATATGTGTCAGTACTTAATTCTTTTTTTTTTTTAATGGCTGAACAGTGTTTCATTGTATGTGTATAACTCATTTTACTTATCTATTAGTTGAGAAACATTTTCGTTTTGGGGGGTTATTTGCAGTTTTTGGGTATTACAAATAATGCTGCTGTGAATATTTGTGTGCTGTTTTTTGTGTGAAAACATGTTTTCGGTTCTCTTGGGTCTATACCTAGGAGTGGAATTGCTGAGTCACATTGTAAATCTAAGTTTGACTTTTTTTTTTTAAAACAAGGAGGTTAAATCTTTTATTATTTGTTTCTTTTTGCTGCAAGCTGTTGCTTCACTGTATAAAAACAGCACAGTAAATGCAGTATGACATAAGATTAAGCTAGTATTGTTCTTCATCTGACACACCAACAAAAACTTTTCCATTCCCAGTTATTTCCAATGGAAAGATTAGTATTTCAACCTAAATTCAGGTGTGGATGTAAGCAAGTTACAATGTTATATAAGGCTTAAGATAACTTATAGTTATATAATCCTTAAATTACATAGTTTTCTTTCTTTTTTTTTTGTTTATGAGTCGGAGTCTCATTCTGTTGCTCAGACTAGAGTGCAGTGC